TCTTTCTTTCTTTCTTTCTTTCTTTCCTCTCTTCACCTTCCTTCCTCCTGGGGTGTCCCTGGATGCTTTTGTCATAGCTGGGAACCCTTTTCGTCTCTTCCTTTGGTGTGTCCTTGGACGCTTGTGTCGTAGCTGGGAACACCTTCTTCCCCTTTCCTTTCTTCTCTTTCTTTTCTCTTCTCTCCCTACCCCTCCCTCCCGTCGGGACCTTAGAGTGGGTTGCTACTAGGGGCTCCTGGCCTTACTACTAGGACGCTACTTTGATGCTTCTAGGGGTTCCTGGCCTTACTCTAGGCGCAAGGACGCTCTAGGGCAGAGTTGCCTCCCCTTGGGGAGGCGTGTGTGTGTGTGTGTGTGTACCCCTTGTAGTCACAGGGGTTCCGTTGAATTGTTTTTTCCTTTTAGCAGGGGGACTGGAGCCGATTTGCCTATCCAGTCCAACGAAGCTATGGCATTTCGGTGGATGAGTGGTCTGATCAACCACTTGTACCTGCACAATTTTTAACCTTTGGTAAAGGGCTAATGCATTGGCAGTCACGCACGGCCCGCCGTCATCTTGTTCGACCCGTGATCGTCGATTGGTTTCTTCCGCTTTGGGCCACTTCTCCTTTTGAAGACCTCCAGGCTCCGATGGTCCTTACTGGTACTCTTAGGCGTGTGGCACCGCTATCAGTTCCGTACACTCTATCCTAAGTGTGTGAAGCAAAGGCAGCTTACACTCTTGGGGTTCAGCTTCATAAGCTTGCCGAGGACAGTAAGTAACAACTTGCCCAACACGCTCTCCTTGTCCTTGTCTTTCTCCTTCTCCTTATCCCTGTCCTTCCGGTCTTTCTCCTTGTCCTTCTCTTTCTCTTTTGACCTTTCTTTCTCCTTCTCTCGGTCTCGCCGATCCTTCCGATCATCGTCCTGCAGGTGAAATACATAGAAGGGAAAGAGGCTGGGCATGCCCCAAAGACGTGCGGTGCCATGCTGCTCCTAACGTCGGCAAAACCGAGGGGTTCTGCTTCAGAAAAGTAGGGCTCTGCCTTCAGAGGGGATTCCTACGGAGAGTCTGACCCCAAAGGATTCTTAAAGTGCCTCGACAAAAAGGTCGACAAGGTCGGTAGATTCAATGCGTCGACAAGGTGTACGCTGAATTCGGAGTTCCTATTGAACCTCGTTCTTCGCTGCCTAAAGACCTACGAATCAACGGCCTTCCGGATGCCTTACCACAGGCAGCACAGAGTCTGCGTGGAGTTTCCTCAGTTGCAGCTCGACTGAACCTTCTATGTGGCACTTTACTTTACTTCACAGGTTGCAGAAACAACACACCGGAACCTCAAAAGCACCAAAAAAAAGCACGTTGTTCGCTGGAAAAAGGGCCCCACGCAGTGTTCGCCGACGCGGAAGCCATCCCGACCCAGTAGCTTCGTGTGAGGGTGAAGCCAAACAGGTCCGGTCGTGACGGTTCTGTGGTATTGCACCTAAATCTATGCAGGCACGGCAGTCCTTTGCTGGTACCAAATCAACAGTGAAACAGGAAATGATAACATAAGTGCATTCCCACTCGTAGATATGATATAGTCACGTACAGGGCCGGAGCCAAACGTATGAAAAAGCCATCCTGGGCCTGTCGTCACGCATGCTCCCAGAACTAGTAACTAGTGAGTATACTATTTGGGGGGGGAGGAAGTGCTGGGACACCTTGGTATTGGCTTGAGGAGATGTCAGCAACAGACAGTTGTTCCTTGCTTCAGCCCAACACAAGAGAGCTCAGCTAGAGATTGGGCCCACTACCAGGCTTCTAAGCTTCTGGTTTCACTCATGGGAGTTCTTCTACCAACACCCCTTATCCCCATCGCCCTCCCGACCAGTCCCACCGTTCGCCGTGCACCAGGCCGTGCACATCTGGCACATCTTTCGATGGCTTTTGCGAGGAGGCTACATTAAACACGTCTGAGTTTGTGTAAAAGGCGGCCTTCCTGGAAGGCCGGGAAGAGGACGTATAGTTGAAGGAACTGTTTCTTCTAAGCAAGAAAGAAAGCGACCACTGACCGATTCCTTCTCAGCCCTTTGCAGGAAAACCCAGCCTTCTCCTTGGCTTTCTCTTTTTCCTTGCCCTTGTCTTTCTCCCCTTTGTCTTTCTCCTTCTTTTCTTTCTTCTCCTCCTTCTCCTTTTCCTTCAACTTCTCTGTGGTTTCGGCCAATCTCCTGACGCAGTGCAAATCACTGCGCTATTTCCGCTGCGGCTGCACCAACTCAAACAGCTGTCAATTGAAGCCAGCCTCTGCTTCTTCTTTGCTGGCTTACCTGCTCACTCAGTCGCTGAAACACAATAGTAACAATTCATCTTGTGGATATGTGTATAAAAATACCTTTGACTTTAACCTTTACATCTATGTACATAAAGATACAGTCTTTATAGAGGAAATCCTGCAACACCAATGAAGCAATCCAAGAAAGATTAAGGACATCTCCTAGTGGCCCTAAAGAGTCCTAGTTGTACCTCTCATGACAGGTGTTCATTTCTTTCCAAAGATGTTGTCACCTGACGGCACCTCCCCGCCTTGTCGTCCGGGGCCTCGGCCTCCCCCAAGGCGCCGCGGAAGCCAGCCCTCCACCGTGCGGCCACGTTCCACATCCACCATCACACGGCGGCCTAAGTCGATAAAGAAGGAAGACCTGCAGTGTGCGAAAAATCCGCAGACCTCCTGGGATAGCTTTGTTTGTAAAATCTCACCCACCAGAAGTGTTGGAAAAGGATTGACCGCTGAGAGAGAGAGAGAGAGAGACTGAGATAGAGAGAGAGAGAGAGAGAATTTTTTTTATGCCCAACACTTGGACCAAGCTGCCATCGATTTTCTTGCCATCTCCCTGCTTATATGCGTTCTTTAGATCACGTTCATGGTCAAACTCAATGAAAGCATATCCTGCAGGGACATCATTCTTCTCACCAGCTCTTCCCCATTCGCTCCAAGATCTAGAAAGGTTAAGCATCTGGTTTGGATTGAAAACCGGGTCTACAGTATATAAGGAGAAGAAACCGTTCAAAACAAATTGAGATGACACTAGGACACCAGATGTTTGCGCTGGACTCCAGTCACGATCGGATGCTCCTCTTGGCTTCCCTTTTTGGTCATAGACCATGCGAACCTGGCAAACCACAAGCTGGAGACGGGCGACTGATCTGCTCGGAGGCAAAAGAGATCTACTTAGGAGTTACTGCTTGCTACAGTTACTACTTCTATTTTTTAAGCCCGGCAGGGAGGTTGTAGCTAGAAGCAGCAGCTAGTAGAAGCTAGGTAGCTAGTACAGGATAGCTCACGCTAGTGCTTCAGTTCCTAGATTTTTTGTGAAACTTAACACTTGTTTACTTCTGAGTTCTGAATTCTGTGTTGAAGAGATTCAACATCATAGAAGCCTTCTTGATGCTTCCAAAGACTTCGAACTCACGCTTCAGCTTCTTCTCAGTCGTATCATAGCCTCAGGTCAGGTCTCCGACTTTCAACCTCAGGACTTGTAATATCTTGTACATAAGGATCCAGCTAATTCGTCCCACAAAGAGTGTCTTGAAGGGATCGCCGCTGGCGTTGGGATCCTGCAAGTTGAAGGCACAGACATGGAAGTCTCACTCTGTGTATAAATCAAATGTTCATACATGAAGCTACTTAAACCCTTTCTTTGAAGTACAGTGGAAGACCCTGCAGGCACGAACACATGAGTTCAAGCTTAGTTACGGCTTAGTTGGAATTCAACTCCTCACCCTTGGCTCCTCCCGCTCGCTCCTTGTGAGGGTCATAGGCCTCGATGACCTTCTTCTGAGCTGCTTTGTGGGCCTCAACCTTGCCAAGGCAAAGACCACATGCACAGATGCTCCCAGTATAATTCCTCTGTGAGTGGACATCACGGCACATAAGCCTGCAGTGGGCCAGCAAATCCCTGAAACTTAGCAAGTTACATTCAGCACTTCATCTGGATATTTATATACTACAAGTAACAAGGACGCTACTAGTACCTCCTGGCATCACTACCAGGAACAAGAAGCTGCTAACAAAGGGCAACGCTACTAGGAGCTCCTGGCCATACTCAGTTTTCCTCAAGACTCTCATTTTCCGGCACCCTGCCTTTTCACGGTGCCTTCGAGCCTTACGCTCCAGTGGTGACTCCCAAGGCTCTTTGGGAGGCGGCGGATCCTCATTGCGGCACATTGTACATCCCATCGGGGGTGCCGTAAATGTCTCCCTAGAATTGCCTTCTCTTGTCACCTTATATATCTACTATATGTAAAAGATGTACATATGTATATATATATATGAATGTATGCAGTATGCATACGATGATTCAAGAGCAATCGTCAAGAAACATTATGGTGCAGGTCTCGTACTGAATCTGCTGCGGGCCTTAACGACTCCACAAACCCTTCCAAATCTGCAGCAGTCGTCTTATCAAGCTAACCCTGCGCGGCCCTTCGGTCTGACCAAAAATGCGACACCATGCAATTCTATGTGGAGAAATGCAGCCAAGGGGCTGCAGAGAAAAATTCAACGTACCTAGGTGAAGGTCAGCATTTCGATGATCTCTAAACCATATACTTTATACTGATACTGCTCAGAGCGCCCTCTAATTGGGCTCTATTGTCCATGATAATATGTGACCAAGCCAAGGTTACAGGGTTTTGAGATTGAATGTACTGTAACATCCAATTAAAATTTTGGACGTAGGTAAACTGAAGCATAAACGTAAAGGTGCCCGGTTCCCGCAGGTGTCCTTAACTCCCATGGGCCCATGGGATTCACCGGCACTTGGTTACCTCGAAAACCCCAAAGCGACTGCTCGCTGCACAGCGACTCAATGCAAGTCTCTAACCACACAATCTTCGTCTTTTCACCTCGTCAGCAGCTTGCTCCCAAGGCGAGTCGAAGCGACTTTCCCCGGTGACCGACCTGATTTTCTCTGGACCAACTTCTACGCTGCAGGTATTGCACCCAACTCAGGCCAACCGAGGACGCACTAAACTGAGGCTTTCCGTTCAACAGTTCAACCCTTAAACTCACTTCGGCCACTCTCCAAGATACGGACAGCGATTTCGCGGCTTTCAAGCTCCCCTCGCACGTCTGCCGCAGGGACCATCCGAGAACCCTTTCCTGGCAGCCTCTACAGAACGATCCGATGATCTGATGGTCATCCCTGAACGTCCAATCATCCCGGACATGTTTCAGGCAAGGCTCTCTGCACAGCCTGAGAGCTTCACCGAGGGCTTCAGGACGCACGGCGGTAGGTGCTGGGGAGGAGGCCTGGATGGTCATTCATATGGACAATTGAGGTTTTTTACTTTTCATGACAGAAAGCACTGAAGGGACATTGTGACTACACAGTTTGCGGATCTGTGCCTGGGTGTGAAAAGCGCAAGAATGTGAGCTGGAAGCCCTTGCGCAGACATTGCTCCTGGTAGCACTTTCTGCCGACACCATCAGGTTTCATTCTGCACAATAAGAACACCACATATCAGCAACAGCAGAATTCAGGAAATGTCCTCAGTTCAGCTGGTCAGAGGACAGCTTCGATGGCAAGAAACCGCAGCTCAATATCCACCCAAAAATGTGTTTGAAGTCTTGCTGGAGCAACGATTTGCCAAACATCTTGAAACCATATAGGGCATGGAGGGTCACCGCTTTGATTCAATCTTTCAAGACTGGGCTTGAGCCGGACGTCTACGGTCCCAGGCACAATGCTTGCACCAAGTAAAAGGAAAACCCAAGTTGTGAAAGCAAACGCTGCAAAGCTACATGCTGAGAAACTCTTGCGGCGACAAATTAGAAGTAACCGTTTCATTCCCCTCATAAATAAGTGTGGAAACTGCTGTTGTGGATTCAAAATGGCCGTGAAAGCATCTGAGGTTTGATCCGTTTCGAGCAGCGAGTTGCTCCTGTGATCTTGTCTTTCTTGTCGTGACTTGATCCAGAGAGTGCCCGAAGGCCAGGCAAGGGGGAGGCCCTGTCAAGGTGCTAGGCAAGGGCGGCAAGGGCACCAATCATATATATATATATTTGTATAATTCAACTCAAATCAAACAACCTGATAGCGATGGCCTCCAACCTTCTAGCGATGGCCTCCAACCTGGAAGGCAAAGGCCTCCAACCTAATAGCGATGGCCTCCAACCTACTAGCATAGCCTCCAACCTACTAGCGATGGCCTCCAACCTACTAGCGATGGTCTCCAACCTAGAAGCTAGCAATGGCCTCCAACCTAATAGTGATGGCCTGGAACCTACTAGCG